TAAGAGACCCGGGTTAGGGTACGGTGAGTTCCAGGTATTGTTGCCGTTGTAGGATTGCCGTGGTCGTGAGCCGTTTTGACGTCCGCGACCTCTACCCCGATTTCCACCGTCACGACCTTGTCCTCGTCCATAGCCTCCACGTTGCCCGGAGTTGCCTTCCCCATAGCCTGTGCCTCCATGCTGTCCGCCATAGCCATCGGGAGTACCGCCGTGAGTGCCTTCCCCATAGCCTGTGCCGTGAGTGTCCGCCATAGCCGTCGGGAGTACCGCCATCCAGCAGCATGAGGGCGGATCGAACTTGCAGAAACGTGGGCATGGGATCCTGAAATTGCATGAATGATGTTTGTCCCTGGAGATCGGCAGGGAGACCACGAAGAATTTGAAGGACGAGTTGGTGTTGGGAGACTGGTGCATCAACATCATCCAGCCAGTCGGAAAGATTCTGCAGTTGTTGGCAATAGGCTGCCATAGTGGAGTTGCCCTTGACTGTCGTGTGAAATTCATGTTCCAATTGCATAGCTCGAGCATGTTTGTTGTCGTGGAACAAGTCGTGGATGACTTTCAAGAGAGCAGAGGCAGTAGAGACAGAGGAGATGACCAGATCTGAGACCTCATCGGTGATGGTGGAGAGGATCCAACCCTGGAGGAGAGCGTCGAGTTGGAACCATTTGTCGTCGTCATCAGAGAGGGGGACGACGGAGCCATCGATGTAGCCCTTGAGGTTGAATCGCCGAACCAGAAGAAGGAAGAGTCGGCTCCACTTTTTGTAATTAGGTTGGGAGAGACTGAGTTGAACGGGGACATGAAGTTTCGCGTTTGAGATTGTTGTGAAAGCAAGATGAGGAGGTTTGGAGGAGTTATTTTGGGAAGTGATCTCGCTGTTTTCGGCCATGGTGAGGGGAAGAAGAGGACCGCCGAGGAGGAGAGGGTGTCGCCGGTGAGGAGAGCTGCCGTAGGGAGAGTCGGCGCTGACGGCGAGAGAGAAGGCCGAACGAGAGAGAGAAGGGGTTTAGGGTTTTTGATTTTTAGGCTCCGATACCATGTAGAAAGGTTAATTTCATTAATTGAATATGTGGGAGTACATGTCTATATATACACAAGGGTTCCTAATTCTATACAAGGTAGAAGTCAATAATAGGAAACAATATATTCCTAATCCTATACAAGGTAGGAGACAATAATAGGAAACAATATATTTACATTAAATACAGAATACATTTAACACTCCCCTTAGTATATTTTTTCAAAATCTAGGGTACCTGATAATATCTTTTGAAAAATAGAGGTACCTAGCAGTTCTTACAAGAAAACATGAGGTATTCCGCCGCAGCAGTTTTTTGAAAAAAAAGAAGACAAACAGGGGCAAAGACAAGTGATTTAAAAAGAGCAAGGAATGCATACAATGAGGGAAGTGGGACCGATCGACATCAGGCCGTGCGTTTTTCATGTTGCCATATCATTGGCCGCCACCTACTCTACCCCACAATCATTTGAGCTTCTCCTATTCAATATCTCTTGCTTGCTTTTACGCCCTTTGGTCTTATTCACCAAATATTCCCTCCGTCATAAAACTTTCTTCTCACATCATTATTCCAACTTCACGTAAATTTATATTTATTTGTGTTTTTTCATAGTCTATATGATAAAATAAAATATTATTGTCACCACTTATTTTGTTGAACTTTTGATGTAGTTTTTAAAATATGTATGTTTTATTTTTTATTTCTATACCAATATTTAAACAAAATAGATTGAAAAAACTTGGGATTTTTCTTCGTTTTGCGCAACGGGAAGAAAGTTTTAGGACGGATGGAGTACCAAGTACCCCTCTCTTAAAATGATATTTTTTTCGTCAAATTTTTACATGAACCTAAAGTTTATATTTATTTTTATAGATCTTAGTGTATTTGAAGGATTAAAGATAGGGGTGTTCATCGGGTCAAACCCGGAACGGGACCGGACCGGGACCGAATAAGGGGCATTTGGTGGACCGAGGACCGGACCGATTAAGCTAAGGACCGGCCCGGGACCGGACCGGTAAAACTCGGACCGGACCAGGACCGGACCGAATAAATGTTATTTTTAATTTTTTTTTAAATTTGATTTTATTTGTTTGATTTAAAGTATTCAATTGAATAAAAATATTACTACAACTAATTTTTAATTGTAACATACTTTAAACATTGTCAAACACATTTGTTTTGAATTTTAAAAAAAACTTTAAACAAAATATATATCTTCCATCCGTATTACATAAAATTTGTTCGTAATTTTTATTTTACATAGAAAATATTCTACTTCTTCGTTCATTTTTGCTTTTTTGTAATATTTTTTTGAGTTTTCGATTTATTTTGACAAACGAATACATTTTTTACTATTTTTGTTCATGAGATTGTTTACAATGTTTGTTTTTGCGGATTATCGTTTCATTATTGATAAAGTACAAATTTAAGTGATAGTATTGGTATATAAATTTGAAATGCATTAGATCGTTAATATAAAGGTAATGTTTAGTTTTTCACACTTTTCATATTTAAAATATATAAAAATCATTAGAATTGGTATCTTATTTTGAATTGAAAATGTATTTAAAAAATTATATTAAATAATAAAATCAAAATATTTAAAAAAAATTAGTATTAAAGTTAAACTAATTTTAGGCATAAGAAAAAACCTTAAAAAATACAATATTATAATACTATATAGAAAAAATATTTTTAAAAAATAAAATGTAACCGGTCCACCGGTCTGGACCGAAACCCGGTGGACCGGACCGGACTGGAACCCGAATAAGGAAAAATTGAGGACCGAAGACCGGACCGAATAAGGACCGGTCCGGACCGGTCCGGTCTGGTTTTGGCCGGGTTTCGGGTCGGTCCGGGTCCTGACCGAATAATGCACACCCCTAATTAAAGATGTGAATCTATTGCAAAAAATAAAATATCAACATTCAAACCCATGAAAAATGTGAAAAGGTCCACATTTTAAATATGAATTTCGGGACCATGTAAGCATCACTCTTTATATTTGGGTAGTTTAAAAAATTTGTTTCTTTTTTATTTTAAGGAAACATATATGGTCTATATCAATTGACTTACCTTAACACAAATTATAACAAATTACATTTTATTTTATTAAAAATCGTGTCAAGTCAAACGCAAAAAATAAGTGATTGGACTTGGATTTTCCGGTAGGAGAGGCCTTGTCCTTGTCTTTCCCCATTTGTAGAAAAAAATGAGAAGAATTTGAGAAGGGTGGAAGAATTTGATGAAATATGCTTACAGATGCAAGAGAATTCAGTTTGTGTGAGTGAAAATGATGAAATGAGGTGTAAATATATAGGGAAGAGGAGTTTGAACCGTTCTAAATTCAAAATTATAGCTCTTGGAGCGTTAAACTTAGTGCCCAACGAATATTTTTTGAGAAATTTACTTAAAGAACACTAAAACATAATGATTTTTCCTAAATAGCACCACATGTGTTTTTCTTCCCAATGTAGCACTTTTAGTCATTATGCATTAGTCATTATTCAAACAAATAATCGCTATCACTGGACATTATGAACATTATTAAGTGATATTTAAAGAATAAAACAGTTTAAGTGTTATTTAGGGAAATGACTTAAGTTTTAGTGCTATTTAGTGCAAATATTTCATATTTTTTTTGAAAATTTTGTTCTGAAAAACGATGTTCCAAGGTCTACATCGCTGTTGGAACATCGATGTAGTGCGTTAAGGTTTTAAAAAGTTGAATGGGTAACAACGATGTCTTAAACTCAACAACGCTGTTTCAAAAGTTTCTGGAACTTAGTGAAAAAGTTGAACTTCTTGAACATTGATGTTGTACTCCTCAACATCGCTGTAATCCCCACCGTTGAGCTCCATTCCCCCCGTCAACCTCCACTCTCCCGTCTTCTCCGTTCTCCCTTCGTCAGCCTCAAAGCTCTTCACTGCTCTAGCTCCCATCGTCAACCTCGAAGCTTGTGGCCGTTTTTCCACCGTCGAGCTTTAGCCCATCGTTGCCATTTTCCTGTCCGTCGTCAGGCTCCAGTCGCTGCCATCACCTCAGTTCGATCCCAAGGTTTTTTTCTTTTTTTATTTAAAATCATAAATTTTATTTTGAAATATTTTTGTGTCTAATTTATGCATTATTACAAAATGTGATTTTTGTGTTTATGTGTTAGTTGATCTTAGCGGTTTCTTCAGGAAAGGAACAAGTCTCAGCTTAAGGCTCAGCCAGATTGGATTGATGTCCCCAGAGTACCACAACAACCAGGAAGACAGAGTGTGGATATTATACTATGTGATTTGTATGGCTCATCGTGACTTAGTGTGCTCAGTGCCCGTTATCTGATGTAAGTTTGTTTTAGTGTGTTCTGTAACTAAAGTATTCTTTTTCTTTAATTATTATAGATAATTTAAAATTTGTTTTATGTTTTTGTTCATATTGTAGGTGTTTCATTCTACTTCGCCATACACGGTTGCCAAATTTGAGTAAGTTAGAGAGTTTTGGGTGGGAGGTTTTCTCAATGAATTAGTTTAAGTTTTGTATGTTTGTATTGAGTTGTATGACTTCTTTTTTAAAATGAATATATAATTTAGTTATTATATTGTGGTGCTATAATAAGAGTAATTTGCTAAAGGTTTTGTTATTTTGGATTTGGTGAACATGTTTTGAGGCTCTTTTGATCTATTTTGATCTGTTTTGGGTTGTTCTATTCTGCTGCAATTCTGTTTTGTTCTGGTCTGTTCCAGTAAGCTATTCAAAAAAACAATTATACCTTTTAAATCGGTTGTTTTCAAATAACCGATTAAAAAAGTCCTTCCCGAGATTGGCGCCAGTTCTGGGAAGGACCTTTTAAATCGGTTGTTTACAAATAACTGATTTAAAAAGTCCCTTCCAGAACCGGCACTAGAAAGGAATAACCAAAACAAGAGGGACTAACTACTTGCTAACCAGCTAACAGAATGGAATAACCAAAATAACCAATCCCTAATAATGTGCAAGTTGGTTTATCGCGCTGGTAAGTATTGTTGGAACACACTTTGTACAATAAACTAAAGTCGTGTTCATTTCTGACAGGTTTTGATAATTGCCAAACCGCCGTGGATATGAGAAGTTTCGTTGAATAACTCAAGGCGTGAAGAATGGCATTGAACAAGACCAAAAAGACTCAAGGATAAGATCAAGAATTGAAGATTTAGTCGAATCGGTCTTTTGTGATCAAAACCGACAATCAATTCAAGTCTCGATTCTCAAAGAGTCAAAATATTTTTTACAAATCATAAAATGTTTTTTATGAATCAAAAGAAACAATTTTGATAAATCTTTTTATTGTTAAAATCTCTAGTCCTTGCTCGAAAACTAAACCACCTAGTTCAGCGTTTGGTTTTTGGCGCCCGAAGCAATTCCGTGGTTTTCAATGTTTTAAACCTCTCTTTTATCTCTGAGCATATTCAAAAGGTTCCCAAATAATTATTTTTAAAAAACCACTTTTGTATCTTGGTCAAACGATCTAACACGTGAAAAACGGTCTTAACCGTACACACGTAATAAACTACCTCGAGGACTTGGCTTTTACCAAACAAGTCTTGGTTTCACTATTTTATACCATATACAATGTTTTTCAAACTTGGTTTTTACATTTGGGAACACTTCGTTTTTGGACCTCGGTTTTTCAAAACGGGTTTCAGCTCGCTAGACTTTATCACTTATGCAATAATCGATTATCAGTCTTTGCAGCCAAAACCCAAAATCTTCTGAGAGGACCAATAATCGATTATCACTTGTTGACAATCGATTATCTGGGTTACCGTTGTCCTCCAACGGATAGAATTTTAAATTTTTGGACAGGGAATCTTTGGATAATCGATTATCAAGCTTTAACAATCGACTATAACCTTGTGTTTCTGAAAAATTTGTCTTCATCCTGTTGGAAACTCTAGCAACGGGGTTTATCCCATTTTGAGCTATAAAATGGCACCTAAATCCTCTCATTTTACACACAATTCTTAAACATTTCAATACTCTTTCATTGCATAAGCATTCCTATTTTTCTTAGCTATTTGAGAGCCAATCCTTGAAGAAATTGTCGTGTTTTTGAGCGTTTACTAGTTCACTCATATCTACTCTTTGTGAGAGTTTTATTCCTGAGTGTTTAAGTGTTTTCATACACTTTAAGGGAGGTTGTTCCCTTGTTGTAAACTCGAAGGAAGTTCTTTGTTCCTTCGTGAGAAGTCTTGGAGTGCAGTATCTCCGAGCAAAGGCGTTGAGGCTCGTGTGACTCGAGTTCTCAAGTTGTATCGGTTTGTTAAGCACCCTTAAGCTTAACGGAGTTAGTGTAGCTCGAGAGAGTCTCTCGGGAGGCTGGATTAGCCACACGTTGTGGTGAACAAGGATAAAATTCGGTGTGCTCTTTCCTTACGCTCTTTACTATTTTCGCTCTCGTTTTAATTTCTTGCGATTTTGCTTTAAACGCTATTCACCCCCCCTCTAGCGTTGGGCCTTAATTCTAACAATTGGTATCGGAGCCATACTCTCTGAAAGACTTAACCATTTGAGAGAAACGATCAATGGCTTCTACTCAAAACTTATACGCAGGTTTAGGAGAAGGGCAATCCACCACAAGGCCTCCATTATTTGATGGAACGAATTACACATATTGGAAGGAGCGAATGAGAATTTTCATCCAATCCAACAACTTTCTCCTATGGAGAATTATCAAGAATGGGGAAGAAGTGCCCATGAAGAAAGTTGGGGAAACCACCGTTCCCAAAACTGAAGACGAATACGATGCGCAGGATATCAAGAAAATAGAGAACAATGCCAAGGCTATCAACATTCTTTATTGTGCAGTAAATCCGGATGACTACCGGAAAATATCATGTTGTTCCACCGCTAAGGATATGTGGGATAAGCTCGAAATCACGTATGAAGGTACGAATCAAGTCCGAGAAGCTAAGATAGATTTTCTAACCCATGAGTATGAATTATTTCGTATGAAGGAAAAAGAGAAAATCGACGATATGTTTGAACGATTTTTAAAAATCGTAAACGACCTTCATGCCCTCAAGAAGACATATACGGACAAGGAGCTCGTAAGAAAAATCTTAAGGAGCCTCACACCGGAGTGGCGTTCCAAGGCCGATGCCATTCAAGAATCTATCGGCATCACCAACGTCACCATCGACGGACTTATAGGTAATCTGAAAACCTATGAGGCTACCATTCTTTACCCCTCTCTAGGTGAACAAAAGAAGAATGGGATTGCCCTCAAGGCATCTACAAGCCAAGAATGTGCTATGGAAGACTCGAGTGACGAAGACGAGTTCGGGATCGTGCTCAAGAAATTCCATAAGTTCATGAGCCAAGAGTATGGACGGAAAGGAAAGAAGCAAGGAAGTCCACCCAAATGCTATGGGTGTGGAGAAGTTGGGCATATAAAACCAAAATGTCCAAACGCCAAAAACAAGAAGAAAATGTTCAAGAAGCACCGAGCCTACATCTCATGGGGAGGTGATTCCGGCGACGAGTCATCGGAAGGCAAAGAAAATGAAAGTTCCAACCTTTGCCTCATGGCACACGAGGAACCACTGGAAGAGGTATGTACCCCATTCTAAAGATTCCTCTACCGTTGATGATGTACAAAAAGCTTTTAATGAACTTTATGATGAATATGTCAACGCTTCTAAAATTAACAAGGATTTGAAGAAACAACTTACTTCCATGGAGAAGGAAGTTGATAAACTATCAAAAGATAATGAAAAACTTAAAGAAGAAAATAAGTTTTTCGGAAAAAGAAGCGCTGACAAACCGGAAAGTTCAAAATGTAGTTCTTGTATATCACTTAAGGATCAAATTGCAAAACTTGAAGGAACTTTGAAGAAGTTTGGTGTTTCTCATAAAAAAACCTTAATGATGTTCTTGACAATTTGCAACTTACTAAACATGGCTTGGGTTTTGAAAATGAACCTAATAATAAGGAAAAAGTTGAGCAACCATCTAGGAAACCTAAAGCTCAACTTAGGAATAATGAAAATCAAGAAAATAGAAAACCTAGAACAATTAGGAAGACTAGACCACCTAGAAAGAACACTAGGATGAACAATGGTCAAGTTAGAAAACCTAGCAACTATTATCAACCCAGGAGAATGCATAATCCAAATGTTATTTGTCATTATTGCAATAGGGTAGGTCATATAGCACCCGTGTGTTTTAGTAGGCATATGCATTACACGTATAACAAAACACACACTTTGCATGGAACTAACCTAATGAAATCCTTTGAAAAAGGATATTCGAACTCTAACCAATCCCTACAGGAATCAACGCAAAAGAAACCATATTACTTCTTCTATTATGATGAAAAGAAGAAGATTCACATACCACTTCCGGAACCCACACAAATCAAACCGAGGTATAGACATTCGGTTCGAGTAGACTGGAACCCGCCAACCGCAAAACGACGAGTTGGCCAAGGTAACACTTAAACACGCGTGTTGATACGTGTGTGTGTGTGTGTGTTTGCGTACCATGTATATGTAATTATGGGTGCGAGTGTTTATTAGTTTAAAAAGTCGTGTTACTAATCCTCAAGGACCCAAATGACCAAACGGGTACCAAATGTTTTCATTGAAGGCGTTGAAGTCAGGGGGAATGTGAACAATCAATTTCCGGCTTCAGTATTGGGTAACAATCGATTAGCATCATTATGGTAATCGATTATCACAACCCACAGGAGGTGAAGCAAAGAAGCTGAAGGTGCCAACAATCGACTATCATCATTACGATAATCGACTATACATGCCCGCAGAAGTTTGGAGCAAAACAGGCGCAAACCTCAATAATCGATTATCATCATTGGGATAATCGATTATCGGAGCCTACAGAAGGTTGAGGCAACTCAGCTGGAAACTCCAACAATCGACTTACAAAAACGTGGAAATCGACTATTGAAGACCGCAGATCATTCAGCGGAGAATTAGAGGCCTCAAATAATCGATTTACAGGGAGTGTAAATCGATTTACAACGGTAGATTTTCAAAAATCTGATCGTTTTCTAGCCGTTGGAAGTGCATTTAACACAACTTTTGACTAGTCCAATGGGTCTTAAGCCTTCTCCATTATAAATTGGTGATCTCTATTCATTTTATACTCACTCAAATCATACTTTCTCCATATATTCATCATAATTCATCATTCTTGCTCCTATTCTTCATTTTCTTTCAAAATTTCTGCAATTTTCTCTTTGCCTTGCTCTCCCCCTACTCTTTGTTGATGTGGCAGGAGGTCAAAGAAAAAGATCCCGCATCGGCAAGAACGTGGCTTCTTCCTCGGCTCCTCCACCACTGGCGCACCAATACCTCAACGGATCTTTCTTATGGTTCAACGACCGCGCAGAGGCGACGCGGTTCTCGGAGAAGTTTGAGCACCGAGCGATTCTTCCTCCTCGGTTTTCCACCAGCCATTTCATTCACGGCTCAATTTTCACCGGACTTCTAGAGCTCTAGCTCTATTCCCTTCTCTTCTTTATTCTTTTTATGTTTTTTAAATTTGCTTCCGTTATGTACTCCGCTATTTCCCTTAATTAATTAATAAAAATCTTTATGTTTTTGTTATTAATTAATAAAAATCTTTATGGTTTTTTAAATCTTTTTGTTAATGTCAAAAGGGGGAAGATAAGGGCTATGCATATATTAAGGGGGAATTTTTTTTCAAAAAAAATGAAAACCCCATGCATATCCCCGTCTTGTTTTGCCATTATCAAAAAGGAGGAAATTGTTAGAACACACTTTGTACAATAAACTAAAGTCGTGTTCATTTCTGACAGGTTTTGATAATTGCCAAACCGCCGTGGATATGAGAAGTTTCGTTGAATAACTCAAGGCGTGAAGATTGGCATTGAACAAGACCAAAAAGACTCAAGGACAAGATCAAGAATTGAAGATTTAGTCGAGTCGGTCTTTTGTGATCAAAACCGACAATCAATTCAAGTCTCAGTTCTCAAAGAGTCAAAATATTTTTTACAAATCATAAAATGTTTCTTATGCATCAAAATAAACAGTTTTGATAAATCTTTTTATTGTTAAAATCTCTGGTCCTTGCTCGAAAACTAAACCACCTAGTTCGGCGTTTGGTTTTTGGCGCCCGAACCAACTCCGTGGTTTTCAATTTTTTAAACCTCGCTTTTATCTCTGAGCATATTCAAAAGGTTCCCAAATAATTATTTTTTAAAAACCACTTTTGTATCTTGGTCAAACGATCTAACACGTGAAAAACGGTCTTAACCGTACACACGTAATAAACTACCTCGAGGACTTGGCTTTTACTAAACAAGTCTTGGTTTCACTATTTTATACCATATACAATGTGTTTCAAACTTGGTTTTTACTTTTGGGAACACTTCATTTTTGGACCTCAATTTTTTAAAACGGGTTTCAGCTGGCTAGACTTTAACTAGGTGATAATCGATTATCACTTTGGTGACAATCGATTATCTGCCTCCCATTTTGAGCTATAAAATGGCACCCAAATTCTCTCATTTTACACACAATTCTTCAACATTTCAATACTCTTTCATTGCATAAGCATTCCTATTTTTCTTAGCTATTTGAGAGCCAAATCTTGAAGAAATTGTCGTGTTCTTGAGCGTTTACTAGTTCACTCATATCTACTCTTTGTGAGAGTTTTGTTCTTGAGTGTTTAAGTGTTTTCATACACTTTAAGGGAGGTTGTTCCCTTGTTGTAAACTCGAAGGAAGTTCTTTGTTCCTTCGTGAGAAGTCTTGGAGTGCGGTATCTCCGAGCAAAGGCGTTGAGGCTCGTGTGACTCGGGTTCTTAAGTTGTATCAGTTTGTTAAGAACCCTTAAGCTTAACGGAGTTAGTGTAGCTCGAGAGAGTCTCTCGGGAGGCTGGATTAGCCACACGTTGTGGTGAACCAGGATAAAATTCGGTGTGCTCCTTACGCACTTTACTATTTTCGCTCTCGTTTTTAATTTCCTGCGATTTTGCTTTAAACGCTATTCACCCCCCTCTAGCGTTGGGCCTTAATTCTAACAAGTATGAATTCTCTACATCCCACTCAAGGTGGACTTGGTGGTGAGTGCAGCAGTCCCAACCTTGAAATGAGCTGATGATGTTGTGCTTCGCCTAAAGGTTTTGTTAAGACATGAGCAAGTTGGAGTTCAGAAGGAACAAAAGATGTTTGAAGATAACCCTCAAAGATCTTGTCTCGAGTGTAATGGCAATTAATATTGAGATGTTTCGTCCTCTCATGCAAGATGGGATTGGCAGCAATATGCATCGCAGCTTTGTTATCAAAATAAAGAGCAATGTGTAATGCCACGAAAACCGGTTTAGAACAACTAACCGCGTAAATCACCGATTTTTACCGTGTGGGCCCCGCCAGCCTGAAAAATAAAAATATTAGGAAAAATATTTTGATTACATATTTGGGTTACATTTATTTTTCCAATTTCATAAATATGATCGGTTTCAAAATCGGATTCCGTTTGGAAAACAACCCAAAATTCAAACAGATAAACTATTTCTTCTGGAACAAGAATTAAATCTCAAATCCCACATACACTCCCCCAAATAATCTCCAGGATTCCCCAATCCATTCCAACATTATTCTCATCCCATCACCCTTATCAAACACATCATTTTGTTCCCAACCCACTCAACACACCCCCACCTTCCTCTCTCATCATATTTGGCGCGCTCTTAGCTTGGTGGGGGTGTGTGTGATTTAATCCAAGGCATACCTCATTGTTCTTCAATAAAGGAGACCCAATATTCTCCATTCATTCACTTCCATACTTAGAAAAAATACATGCAACTCTTTCTCCTCCAAGCTCCTTCATCCACCATTAATGGAGGTTTGAAGAACTATCACTAGGTAAGTGAGTATACTCCATCCCTAACATTATTATACTCATTTTAATTCTCTTCTCACGCAATATACCTATGCGATATCAAGGTTCGAAGAGAAGACCTCAAGACAAGGAAAGCTAGAAGTAGATAGTGACGTCCGTTCGTTGAACGTACGTGAGGTGTTAAGATCATTATTTCCCCTACGAACTCTAAGGTCTGTACCCAGACTCGTTCCGACGTTAGATTCCTTAGAATCATTCATAATACATGATTTCATATACCTACATGTAATTTTATGTTAGTCATACCGATAGTCTCAATAAAACACTCAACTTAATACCCATGAATCGTTGATGACGGAGAATGCCCAAAATTGTGCCAAAAATGTTCCTACACAACTTAGAAGTTCAAAGTATAGTATATATGTTCAATATATACACTTTTGGAGTCATCCTATAGCTTAAAACACACCCAGAAATGCATATGAGCCGTCAGGGGATCGATCCCCGGCGTTGGATCGATCACCCGACGATGGAAAAGAGCCCCATGTTTGAATTTTTTGGCATTTTTTAATAGGTATTAAATGGACCAACTTGGGTATATTTGTCAATAGGTCCACTAACGGTTTTAACCGTTAATTAATGGACGTGTGTTCTCTTAAATTAGATAAATGTTTTAAGAATTTATACACCAAAAATGGTAGAGGGTGAATGAGAAATTGATTCTCAGAGTTAACCCATCAATAGAAGAATATGGTAAGGATTGCAATTTTACTGAACCAATCTTCTATTATTAATTTTACGTATTGTTTAAAATTAGTCCATTTTTACGGAGTTAACTGGCCATTAATCTCCAATTATTCGGGACAAATTTTAAACGGAGTGTAGCGTAACGGACGTGTTAATGGCTAATTAATCACCATTAACACGTCATTAGTGTGCCACAAATGCCATGGATTAATGGTGTAGGAGTTACATTTTTTCAAATTCCCTTGTTATAAAAACAAATCAAGGGAGACTCTCCATCATGGGCGGTTTCATGCGTGAGGAAGAAAAAAAGGAAAAAACTTCCTTGTTTTTTTAGAGAGAGCTCTTGTTTTTCCGGCCGAATTTCCGGCAATCCCCTTCAAAGTTTTTTTTGGTCGCCAACGTTCCTATGTTGTTCTTGTTCGTTGGTGTGTGGTTCGTCCGTACAATCGCCACACACGATAGCGGTTTTATCCTGGAAGGAGAGTGCCCATGTTTTTCTGGTACGGTAGGCGGGCACTACTACCTTAAGGACAGCTCCGGTGACTCCGTTGTCCTTCCACGATGTTTTTTTGCAGGTTTAGTTCATAAAGACCTCGCTGCATTCTGCCCTAGGACATAATGTCCTTGTTATTCAGTGCATAATGTCCTCACATCCCAGTGCAGAACGTCCTCGCTATCTAGTACATAATGTCCTTGCTGCCCAGTGCTTAATGTCCTCATACAACAAGGCTTTTTGAAGATATAGAAATTTATTTTCAATTCTGTTTATCTTGTAATATTCTGAATAAGTTCTAGATTCAGAATTTTATTTAATTTTAGTTTCCGGGGCCGTTCATATTCCGTGTCCGTTGTAATCCGTACAAAAATTGTAACACCCTAGAACCCGTTTTTAAAGTTCAGGGGATCGATTCAAGCCTCTGGATCGATCCTCTGGGGTAAATATTACTAAAACGCAGTTTTTTAAGATTCGGCGGATCAATCACCCCTTCGGGGATCGATCACCCAACTTTCCAACCCAGATTTGAACCGTTTTTCGATGACGTATGAATGATAAATCTTAGGTATTTGTTTGATTTATTTATAACCATATTTTAACTTCCAAAAATACTAAAAATGAATCTTATTGACTAGAAAAACTCTAATACCAAAAATTGATTCGATCACCCCTTCGGGGATCGATCACCCAATGTGCCAACTCAAATTTTAGTCATTTATCGATATTGTATGGATGATAAATGCTTGGTATTGGTTTGATTGACTTATGACCATATTTTAACTTCCAAAAATACTTAAAATGAATGTTTTGGACTATAAGAACTCTAATACCAAAATTGGGTATGTCAAACCATATTTGCTAGATGTGCTATTAATAAAACGGCATCACGGGACGAGTTGGACTAAAAGAATTATAGTATTATATTATGTGGTTTAAACTTGAGTTCCTCACATGATCCAATCCATGAACCTGATTAAATGATGTATAATGATTAAAAGGGATATTTTGGATGATATTATGTTATGGACCTTATGGTAAAACTTTATATGCTCCAATCCATAAATGTGATGATTTTGATGGCGACACTAATAACCAAAAAGGTATTTTTAGATAGTTTAAATCTAGATTATTTCTAGTGGTAAATAGTATGGATTTGAGCATATAGATGTGGGCGATATTAGGTTTTGAGTATGTACGTACATAAGGTCCTAGAACCGGTCAGGTGCCTGGGGATCACTCAACCCGTGTGTCCGGAACCAGAAGAGTATTTATACCAAGACTGGGAAAGGCCACGGAACAAATTCTGAACCTGAAGAGAAGGGCGCTCGGACCCAGACTCATACAGGGGAAGTCTTATCGAGTCTACCTCTACGGAGAATGACTCAGTATGGTGTGAGGATAAAACATGAATGATTGAGAATAAGGAATGTCATTATTTTCGTATAGTGACTGGTTAAATGAAGGATGTTGAATTACTACTAGATATGGATTTGTTTCTATATGAAATGATCGAAAAATAATGGT